CTGGCCCAGCAGCCACCCCACCCCCATGGCCGCCCCGCCAGGCCTGAGGGGCCGAGGGCTGAGGCCCGCCGGCCGCTCTCCTCATTTATTCTTCATACCACCTCATATTTTGAACTTTCTGGATTTATTTCTTTTTAATATCAGCCTCTATCGACCCCAGTAAGCTCTTTGTAAAGGGCAGCCAGGGGACCGGGGGCCTCCTCCCGGCAGCGGGCGCCGAGGACGTGGCCACTAGATGTTGCTGGCCACGGGGCGAAGCGGCTCCGTCCGCTCCCGGGCAAGGGCCAGAGCCACGAGGTGTCTTCCAGGGAGGAAAGGCATTTGGGATCGGTGGGAAATGGCGCATTTTGTGGTCTTCGGAGGGTCGCCCTCGCGAGCCACGCTGATGTGAGGAGAGGGAGAGGCCGGCGGGGTCGTTAAGTGTCCCGCAGCAAGGTGATTATTCCCCCGGCCTTACGGGAGCAAGCCGTGCCTCCGTAACGCCGTCGTGTGGATGTGGCCGCACATCCTGTGGGAAGGGGAGGAAACGGGCTTGTGCTGGTTTAATTAGCCTGCTCTAATTAAAAGGAGGGGGTGAATTTTGTGTGTAAAGAAGGCAGACGAGCATGCTGAGGCTCTGCAGAGCTGAAACCGCTGAAATCTGCTGACCAGCTCTTACTGTTTCCCCGCAGAGGCCGCGACGTGACGGTGCTGGCCCAGCTGGGCCGCGGTCGTGCCACCGCTCATGCCAGGAAGCTTCGCCGCCCACGCGCACGTCGGCGCCGCGGAGGCTCGGTGGCTTGGCCACCATCTGCTGCGGTTCATCCCTTCGCCTCCTTTCTGCATCCTAGACGATGCTCCCCTCGTTGAGAGCAAGCCGGGGGGGCATTTGATTGCCGCCAGACCCTCTGGGAGGAATGAAGGAGGCCCTGGCTCGGCGCCTGTTTGGGTTTCCCGTGCTGCGGTTGCGACGAGTCGGAGACCCCTCACACATGGGCTGAGCAGAGATGCATACCAGCGCGGCTGGGACACCACCTCAGTCCTTGTCCTCACCCGCTAGCTCCGTTTCATCTCCCTTCTGGCAGACCTGGTGGAGGTGGCTTTGCTGCTTTGGCTCTCCACAGTGCCACACAGTGGACTATTCATTGCAGGTGCCTTTCCTTACGGCGAAGGGACACCCCAAGACACCTCCTCTTCTGCTGAAAGGGGTGGTGTGGTTTATATTGGACTGAAAGTAAACTACCGTTACACTTCATGCTGAAAAATACCTTCCATGTTCCAATAGATGTATTCTCTGTCAATATCTATTTTTCAGGTTTTGAGTTTGGGGTTTTTTTTACATTCAGCAAACAAGTTTGGCCAAGAGAAGACTGGGAGAAAAGCAGGAGGGATGGGAGGGAATGGCTGAAATTCTATCCTTTCTCCCCTGCCCCTCAGAAATGCTTCAGAGAAAATAATTCATTTGAACTGAAAATTACCAGGGGGGGAAATAAAACAGTTCTCGACCAGCTGTCTGATGCAGCTAGCAAGGCTGTTTAATTAACACTTCACTTGGCTACCAGCTACCTCAGAGCTAGCTAAGAGCCAATTTAAGGACTTTTTTTCTTGCCTGGCAAGTGATACAGAGCTGCTGGAGGAGTTAATGTCAGCACTGGGAAGCCTTCCCCATGACAGGGAGAAAGCAGCAGGGTTATTCAGCAGCTATGAGTCATCTGTACCTGCTTGTGGAAGGACTCTGTCCCCTCCCAGTCATAACGAGACCTTTGTTTCTTTCCCCCCCCTTGCACGCCAGTCTTGTTCTAATTAGCTGCATTTTTAATCTGTGTGAGTAGAATGAAATCCCAAGCAAAGGAAGCATTTTTACCCTGCTGGAAAACTTAATTAATGATCCATCAGAGAGTTTGATTTCCAAGCAGAATGAAAACACGTGGATCGCGGCGACTCCATGGGGGTTATTTAACGATGTTGCTGTTTCTCTTGGCCACGTAAAACGTTCACCTCTTCCCTCGGACTTGGCCTGATCCTGCGATACGTGAAGGGACTAAGGGGAAGCCTCCCTGGGGCGTTTGGGGCCGCAGCCATCCTCGCGGGGAGGAAGGGCACTCGCCCGCTGCTCACTGACTTGTCATCTCTTGCAGATGCTGTGCCCACGTCGGGTCCCGGCTCCAGAGGAACGACTCCTGGTCTAGCGAGCGCACCGGTGTCCCTTTAGCACTGACCTCCGTGTGCAAGGCATGTTAAACAGCTAAGGGAATTACCTTTTCTTCATTCCCAGAAAGAGCCAGGGGTTGGAAAAATCCCAATTGCTTGGAGCTCTGTCGCTAAGAGCTTCTGAATCAAGCCGAGGTATCTTGACCTGACTCCCAGAGCCGAACAGGCTGCCTCGCTCCCGGGGCGATGGGCTCCTGGGGAGGCCGGAGCGCGGTGGTGCGCTCGGAGGCGTTTGTGTGCCGTCGCTGTCTGTTTCCATAGGGATTGACTCCGCACCGGTGCGCTCGGAGGCATTTGCGTGTCTGTTTCCATAGGGATTGACTCCGCACTTGCGTGGGCGAGGGCCGAGCTAGCCCTCAGGAGTGGGGGAGCTGGTTTTCCTGAGAGACACTGTCAGGCACTGGGCCCGTGACGTAGGGCGATACAGCCGGTGGTGTGTATCTCGCACCACGCCTGTTGCCCATCACCCCATCTCTGGGCTCCTTTGGTGTAATTGCAATAGCAGTAATCGAGCCCTCGATGTGAGCGGCAGGTCCGGGCGCTGCTGCTCGCTGCTGCCTGCGAGAGAGAGAGCGCTTAAAAGTCCTGTGCTGCAGGGAGATACCCAGAAAGCAGGTACTTTGTCACCATTACGTTCTCAAGCATGATTAAACCAACCCCGGGGCTGATTCATCGCTTCCAACAGGCGCTCGGGGAAGGTGGGTGAGACAGAAGTGACAATACAGTGGCACAGCAGAAAAGTTTACTTTTAATCCCAAATATTTACGATCAACACCTGCTAAATGGCCAGTGAAATACAGTTTATGGTGTCATTAATCTGCAATAAACCGGTTTTATTTTTAGACTGTTTGCACAACGTTGCCAGCCTGACTCATCCCTGCCTGCATTTTATCTCTGCGAGGAGGCTGCAGGGAGCTTCCCTGCCCTTTGTCTTAACAGCCTTTTCCTTCTGTTCTCGGAGCTCTTCCCACCTGCTGCTCAAATCAAACGGCGTGGAAGGAGGATATTCTCACAACATCAAACGACGTATCAGAGGAGGATATTCTTGCTGTAACTTGTGCTGAATATATTCACCCGGAGATTTATTTTGGTGGGAAGGTAATTGGGCGAAGACAGGTGAGGCGAATTTTTGCGTTATGTGTCTGAACACCGTGAGCCAGCCGGGAAACGAGGCCCAGGGGGTCGCGGCCGCACCAGGAGGGTCCCCGTCACTCTGGGCGTGGTGGGGAGGGAGCTTTGCTGGGACAGGGGGGACACACTGCGCTTTGTAACCCAGGCCAGGTGGGAACCCGAGGAGACTCGCTCCATCCTCAGCCCAAGCACGTTTCACCACTATTCCCCCCACCCCCGAGCAGAAAAGCAGGGCAAAAAGCCAAAGCAGACATTTCAATATTCACTATTCTGCCCCCGCCTCGTTACGCTGGGTAATTTAGCAGGTTGGGGTCCGGCTCTGACACCCCTCTGCCCGTGTGGCCACCAGCCCTGCGCCAGGCAGAGCACGGCTGAGTACGGGAGGTGTCGCTGCCAACGAGCTGTGAAATGCCCGGTCTGCTATGAAGAATTAATTTGTATTGGTAACAATTAACTTGTTACCATTTGTGAGATTTTTTTTTTTGTTTTTGTTAATGAGGAAAATTAATTAGCGCCTCGGTCTGAGCCAGTCAGGATAAATTAACATGCAGGCAGGAAGGGGGAGAGGGCGAGGAGGACCCGAGAAGCCGATTCCCAGCGGGGCCATCGGATTTGATAAGGGCATAAGGAGTAAGAGCAATGATCAGGCTCCGGGGAGAAGAGGGGAGGGGAAGCGAGCTCCTTCCTTCGCTGGACGCGAAGCCCTCCTGCTCGTCGGCCGCCTGCCCCGGCGGTGGCTGCGTTTTCGGGGGATGACTCGGGTGGGAGAGCCGCTCTCTGCTTGTGCGTCTGCGGCAAACCCTGGAGACATCGCCACGGGCCTTCGGCAGCTTGTGCCTCCGAGTGGGGCGAAGCGGAATCAAAAATAAGCTGCTCCAGGGGATTTCAATCAAATATTCAAATAATTAATCTGGTTTCTTTCCCGTGGTGTGACATAATGAGGGTTGCTGGCATTTTCTTTCTTTCCCCATGAACAGATTTTTTTTTTTTCCCACTGAATATTCCAGTGGCCACAGCTGGAAAAAAACCCCAACCCTGACCCACAAGGGAGCGAAGACAACTGAAGGGTCCAGGCGCGAGGAGCAGCCCAGCCTGGTCACAGCCCCAGCCTGGGTATGAAACCCTCCTGGCGACGTTGCTGCATGCATCAGCGTCGAACCGGGGAGCATGTCTGTGCCGCCGCATGTCCCTCAGCCCGGAGCAACCCCTCTGCACCCTCCCAGCCTCCCGCAGAGAGCTCGCGCTGGGGCTGGCCCCACTGAAAGGGCTCAAACCCGTCGTGGGAGAAGCGGGGCTGCCTACGTTAACACCATTTTGCTGGAAGAGGATCGAGCACCCACCTGGCGTGAGCTTGAGTTATTCCAGGGCCCCAGCAGGGTTGCAGCAGAGAGACATGCTTAAAAAAAAAACCGACCACGTGGAGATTTCAGCCCCTGAGCCCATCCTGCTGGTGCTGCGGCTCTGGCAGGCCGCACTAAAATTCCTCATTAAGCTCCTTCGTATGGAAGACGAGATGGCCCCAGCCATTAAAACACAGCCACGTCTTTAAAGCTTAATAGGGAAGGTTTAATGGATAAAGTCAATTTAATTATTCAACCTAAGAAAGCTTGTACAAATATCAAATGCTTGTTAGCATTCGTGCAACCTGTATGATCTTGCAACACTGACAGATTAAAGGTTGTATCTAATTGCACTGGGGATGGATTCAGATTTGATTGGGTTTTTTTTTTTTTTAATGCTTTTTTTTCTCCCCAGCCTGACAAAGAGAATTTCAGATCGATGCCATCCGAGATTTAACCTTGAAACAGAGAGTATCTGAAGGCTCTTCAAGTCACTTTGTGATGGTTTCCTCTGCCCCTTCCTCAACATGGTGGTTTTTAATCCCCGTTTGATCCCCGCTCCTCAAAGGCTGCCGAAGCGGCTCGGGGCAAGCCCAGACCGACGCAGCGCTGCCGTCCCTGCGGGCTGTGGTTTTGCTGAGACGGAGAGCGGTGGGACAGAGTCTGGCTGACAAACGGACGCGACTGAACTGTCATTAGAAATGCAAAATAGAAATTGATCCAATTAAATAATAATGACTTGCATTTACCCGGTGCTTTTCATTTCCGATCTTAAGCAACGCAACCCTTGCAGACAGCCTGGTGGAAATTGCTTAACACTGCAGAGATTCAATCAGCAGGAAAATTAACACCGGGCGATGTTAAACTGTTTCCCTGTGCAGCTGGTCATGGCCAGGTTTGGGCTGAGGACCCAGCTCCGGGAGCTCGGCGGTTTTTTTTCTGTTCGGCCCGGGGACCGTCCCCAAAAAGAGACATCAGGGAGCAATTCATGGTCACTATCTGGTCTTAGAAAATTCAGTCGGAGCTTGACTCTCCCCACGCTGCCAGGATGTTCCTGCAGGCTCGTGGAAGGAGGCGTTATGGCTCCTGCTGAGCTTCATGGGGTTTGGGAACGTGTGGCTTTGTCAGA